TTGCAATACTGCGGAAGCGAAACGAAAGGAAGAGGAACATCTGTTTATATCTTTCATTCCGAAGACACCTAAATCGAAGGAGCACGACTACCGCACCTGCACCAACAACAGGGAAACGTATCGCCTTGCCATATATCAAAAATGTATCGGAAAAGACAGCCAGATTACTCAAGCTGCACACCCTGGTTGTAGCTTACATACCAACGGCGACCTTGAAGAGAATGTTGTCTAGACCTAAAGGAATACAGGGGGCACACGAGCGCCGAAATGTCGTCTACAGGATACCATTCGAGAACTGTGAGAAAGACTATGTGGGTCAAACGGGGAGAAAGCTATCTACAAGAATACAAGAGCACAAGCGTGCGTGTCGATACCATTATGCATCGTTGCAGATCTCAGCGCATCTCAATGAAGAAGGACACAACGTTAACTGGGGCAACCCGGAAATTCTGGTGCACGTAGGGACAAGAAAAGGAAGAGAATTCCTCGAGACATGGTTCTCTACGGAAAATTCAGTGAACCTCCACATTGACCTTGATCCAGTGTAACTACAGATGAGAAAGCATGAAACTGAGCGGCCGAAAATCGAACGAACAGAGGTCACGGGACACGGATCGACAGAAGCCAGTTTCAAACGCTACGTTCCGACGATAATTTCCGTGAGATTTCTTTCTACGCAGCAGTGCACTGAAAATGCCCCTGCGCGAAGTGGTGAAACGTTTGCCATTAAATTACTCAGCTCGGAGAACCAATCAAAACCTTAACTACGAACCCGAGCTACACGTATTCCGAATCATTGCAAACAACAATATCTTTCGGTTGGAATCGATCTCCGATTATAACGACTGCATCTTCGTCTATAGTTGGAGCATTGAATCTTCGCACATGTTCTCCAGTCGACGTTTTGTCAGCATGAATAATAATCTTGTGTGTATTAGATGTTATCATGTTAATGGCTTTTTTAAACAAACGCAATAACTTATTTTCTTGGTAAAGGAGCCCTTGCAATTGGGAAACGAAGGACTTTTTCATGCTGGCAGATATTCCACAGCGTGCATTTAATTGATCATTGTCATCACCGATGAAGTACATTTGTAGGGATCTATGTTGATCATCGGGAAAAGGAATCAGCAATCCGGCTTTATGGTAAATTTTTACTTTGAAAGTGGGCATAGATGGAGCTTTTACGATTTCTGCACCGAAAGACGTGATTTGGAAGCTTGAATTGTATTTACCGATGTTAGAGAGGAAATGTTTTGATTCTGCGATATCTCCGGCAAATCAAGTTTTCAATGGCTCTGGCGGTTCTTCCATTTGAGGAAGCTTACTTTTTCCTGCAACGCAACACATTCCTTTCGTTTCCCCATTAAATTTCAGCGCTTTGCAATATGGAGTCACTTCAGTCATGGTGCCAAGAGGACATGCTGACTCAAACCATAATACTCAGCTGGGTTGTACCGGAATGCTAGGCGATTGAAATTGTGCGATTGCTGTGCACGTGGTCGTGTTTGACACTGATCTGCTGTTTCTCGTTGACGACTATCATCCACTGACCGTCTGCCGCGTTCATTCTGTTGAGAAGGAAGCATATCTGAAGCTGCAGAACGTGATCATTTTCGTAATCTTGCGTTCTCGAATTTGGCTACACGTCGCACCGCACGTACCTGAGCCACTCTGTCTGTGTTCCTCAGTTTGAGTTGCTCGTGCTCGCCGCATTGCTTCCGATGCGCAAATATAACGGCTTAAGCTTGTTCTTCTGCACGACATTACTCAGGTGAACTAAAGCCGATTACCAGCAATGAAAAAGAAAAAAAACTATTATGGCAGCTGCATATAAAATTGCAAAACAATAAAATGTGGAAGAGCACAAACCGAAAAACAGCTCAAAACATTAAAATTGCCAACGGAATATTTGTATTCAGTAAACCAAACCACAGCATAATTCCCCCGCCTGTTGCACTGAAAAGTAAAAAGAAGCGTTAAAAAACTAATTGAAAGGCAACTTAGAGAAGAAGCTAAGCATTGCTGACGACTTGAACGACATGTTATCGTCACAGTTCAGTTTTAACGCTGTCACACGAAATAGTCGACCTTTGCGATTGTAATGCAACTGAAAACCCCCGAACTTATCCATCTACTCATAAGCATTGCAAAATACCAAATAAACCAACGTCTTTAAAAATTTTAAAACATTACGATGTCATACTAAACATGACACCTATACAATAAAATATGTAAATAAACCTGATAACAATTTTATGTCAAAATTTCGAAGCCATCGGTAAAGAACTTTCGGAGATTACTTTACAGAACACTCCTGGAGATTTACATTTTTATACAAATGATGGGGTCTGCGATCGCATCGCTGTTGTGTGAGTCATTGCCATCCTGCATTATTGGCGGGGTAGACAAGTGTGGGAGCAGGGGGAACGAGTCTAATACTATTAATCATGTGGGTAGGGGTAGTGTGCCTGTATAGCTGGGGAAATGGCACGGATTGAGATATTAAGTCTACAATGAGTTGACTTGGCACTGACCGTCCGGTCAGCTGAATAAATTACAGAAGTAACGGGAGCATATATTTTGCTTCTGTTGGGTGTATGTGGAGTGGGAATGGCAGCAGGTCCATTCCCAAATTCACTAAAAAGGATTGTGCACTGAGATGACGTGGGGAGATGCACATATATGAGATGGAGTAGGAAGTGGCATTGCCCGCTTGCCAAGGTTCCTCCTGTTATCGTTGCCTTACCAGTAACTACAGTATGCTGTGGGATGACGGCTAGGACTATCCAGTAGATATTTGCTTTTGGTTTTAATCCGTTCAGCATATCGACTCGCATTGTGGTTGCAAAAGGGTGACTTATGCGGCTCATGACTTGCCGCCATGCTTTTCGTAGTTTTGTTGGCTTTTGTTGACGATGATTCCTAGAGGATTCGAGCTGGGGATGGATGATAACGGGTTATCTACATCACTGAATTGTCTTTCGCTGGGGGGACCATGGGACATCGGTATCTGCGACATTGCTATCGGCCTCTCGACAATCCTCTTTCCACAATATTTAGCGACTACCCCAGCCGGCATGTTCAGTGAGTTTAAATCAATCGTCCCACCGGTGTTAAGGCTAATCTTCTTTGTCTAGCTGTTGTATTAGTGACTTTGTAGTGTTTTCACGAACCATTGAGCTTATCTCTGCCTCATGATAAGAACAATCGAGATCCACTTCGACGCACTCTATTACCTCACCAAGTACCTTTTTGGATATTTATTTGAGATTTTGTGCTAAGTCTGACCTTTCCTTCCGACGCTGGGGATGATAGTCCTCCGACGGTCCTTTGTAGAAGTGTCATCTCAGGTTTAATCAGTAGATCGTTGAACTCGGTATGTTGTGCTATGGGAAACTGTCTGTTCAGACGCTCAGACAGACAGACTATGCGTTAATGCAAATTACTAGAGAAGCACACGGGTTCATCGTTGGCTGTCTAAGCACTACCGCCGGTCACCACCTGACTGTTGACGAACATCATCTTAGCAGGGAGTTCTGGTGCCTCCGGATAGTCGGATTTTATTATTGTAGTGGACTGGATAACGAAAAACGGTTTTGATGGCTAAGCCAAGTGCCTCGTTTTGTCAACACGTGAACGTAAACATAACTTCTCCACACCATCTGTCGATTTTCGTAGTCATTTTTTGCTGCGCATGAGTCTGAGTCTAACCGCCAAACACATAAGCTGTACAGAGACTGTCTGCCATTAAACCTGCAATTGCTGACATTTTCGTTAGCCTTATCGATCATTACAGCGCCTATTTGTCTGAAATACGCACCCCGTTGACCCGAGCATTGATCACAAAGTGCGGTTACTCCAGAACACCCGCGCGTGCAGTCGTCTTGAAAGGAGTCCTACCTGCTGGTAGAGCATTTCGCCTCACTTATGTGCTTCTAACAAGTGATCCTTCGCCATGCTAAATTGTTTATGATGCTCAAAAAATGTCAAAACCCCGGTTATCGCGATGGTGCTGAACATCGGCTCTAATCGGTTAAAATTTACACGCAATGTACGCCCATCGGTTTGCAAATCTGAAGTGTTACCAACCGATACTGCTCATCACTGACTAAAAAATGATATAAGTATTTGTCCACTCTACCGACCTCCGTCATCCACTGTTTATGAAGATGAGCTGTTACGCCCCATCACCCCTTTTCAACGGCAGTTGAAATGTACCATCACAACGTCGATGCAGTTTTAATTTGATGTCAACTTCATTGTAAGATTTACCGGTTACCACAGTTATTATTCCTGCCGAACCTCTGTGGATTCCACTATTGAACGAGGTTATCTAAGTCCATCGACCCAGCTGCTCACTTACCGATATCCGGTAATGTTAACACTGCATCCTATCATCGACAACAGCAGCTCGATTTCGAGAAGAAGGTGGGGTACCGCTTTGACGCTTCACGCGACCCAAAGTGTCAGTCCACATCTACTTCTCCCGGCTATACGTGGATATACAGCTGTAATTTTTGCTTAGTGCTAACATAGTCGGGAGTGGACCCTTTCTAACTATCCGCAGACCGACCCATGGTAATCAGTTCACCAGCCTTCCATTAGTTGTATGTGTTTCGCCCTGCACCACCACATAGGCAATCATAATATCGCAACGCAACCGATGCGACCAGTTATGAATCATTCGAAGGGCGTGCGCCATCCCATTCTCAGTCAGTTCAGTAGACTGCTTGCCTCTCTTACCGGACACCAAGGGGCAGTGCTCCTCTGGTGATTCAACCGGATAGGGACATTTCGACTGCCGGACGCCAAAGGTCACTAGTCTGTGTCTATGTTTCGAGCATCGTCCTCGTTCCCACCTCATATCACCTCTCCTTGTCTATGTAGGTGGATAAATTGTTCTCACATAAACGCTTACTCCACGTCCACTGTTTGAATGAGTTGTCTCATCTTATTTTCCAATTTCATTCCTTTTCTTCTTTTTCTACATACTACAGGCTCTTGGAGCACATCTACTCATACATCACCACCGGTCGCCTGAGCAGCACTTCATTGGAGGTCAGTTTCGGCATCTCTCTGTTGTGATCTTTTTGCCCGAATCACTGTTCAGCATGAAATCGCATCCGATTCTACAAGCACTTGTCTGTGGACCGAATTACATTGTTCATTATATGCACCACCTGTGCTACTGGTCACTCAGTGCTGGTCAGTGCCACACGACCCAAAACCATCAGCGACCACATAACCGGCGCATTGTGTTGAATAGCCACTGCATCCACTTAATGGTGCACAGGCTCTCGTCTAATAGATCCAGATCGCCTGCTAACCCCATGAGAGCAAAGATGACGACCTTTGGGATGCGTGGCAGCCGCTACGATTAGATGTTGTCTACTTTCTACCCACCGAGAAAGTACATACTACCGATGAGACACGAATGGGGGAAATGTTCGTCGGTGGATTTTCATGAATTGCAGTGAAACCATCTGAATATCCATGCTTCACTTCTGTTGTCTCTCCCCCATTTGCATTGTTAGTGCATTGAGGTGTCCCTGAGACGTGTTAGTCCTACTCCTTGTATATGTGCCATTTGTGATCCCACCGAGAACTGGACGGCGAAATGTGTAAGGAGCCAGCTGGGCTAACAACACGCGGACCGAACCACTTATGGCCGCTCGTTCATTGTGTTCCGTTCTCTGCGGACTGTGCTTGAGCTCTCTTTCACTGGTCCTAGTTCTATGTTGTTCATGGCTCGGTTTTCTGCACCTGTTCCACCTCGCCCCGCACGCCAAACCAGGCCCTTGTTGGGAAACCTTATTTTTGTGCACACAATTTGCACGCGGGGGCTTTAATCTACCTTTGCTTATTATCACGGGAAATGGGACTGTCACCATATGTGAAAGCTTAGAATAGCAACCACACCCGTTTAGCATTTTAACATTTGCTCTCCATAGGGTCAACTTACGCATGCCTCATCGGATCAAACCATGGTTATCTCAACGACTTGGAACGCATCCGTCTCTGTTTCGGTCAGAAGCGTTATTATCACGGATGAATAGCCTAGCGATCGAATTGTCTAGCCAGTCAGCCACATGACCACTGTGTCAACTCTGATTGAGGAATGCGTACTCGGACATCATCGGACATGGTGTTCAGCTTTGACGGTGCGCGACTCTGCAATTGCTTCTGCTCCGCATTCCACTTTGTTCCGATTAGCATCAAACATTCGATCATAGTCACGTTCAAGCCCCATTTAATCGATTCTGTGTTTACTCCGCATACAAATAACTGTTCTCTGTCAGATGTCGTTTATGGTTACAATTATCGATCAACTTTGTCTGGTCCACAGCTTCACTTATTTCGCCACTTCAGCTGCGTCCCAACTCGATCAACTTCCGCTTTATTTCTCCAACAAGTCAATTTGCCCTGTTGCAAATCTGACTTGCAGTCTACCGCGTGGCAATCTCTACGCTTTGCATCGCTTCATTCAGCTAAAACTGGCATCCTATTCACTTGCAACGTACATCCTGATACATTTTGACAACTCAACTGTTCACTTGCCTCAAGCACTTGACCAGGTCACCGTGTCGTTTTTCAAAAGAGAAGAGCACCGGTTCACATAGCCCACTCGATCATTTGGTCGGCCGGTGGCCCAGTGGTCTGCAAGCCTGGCTTGCAATCATAAGGTCACCGGCTTGAAATCGCGTAGAGATGGGCGTCCTCGCGGTATATTCAGCGCGCGCGCGACTGATGGTGGTCACGCGGCAGCGAAGCGCCGTTACGGCATACAGATGATACATTATTATTATTATTATTATTATTATTATTATTGTTATTACTCGAGGGTTTGATAGCCTTCTGTGATGGTTCGCCAGACTGATCACACGAACCCGCTCTCAGACGGCATTGAGTGTACTCCTCTGTCTCGCACACAGCTGACGTTCACTGACAAACTGTACCCCAGGCACTGGGTACATTCTAAACCAATCAGGTTGGCTCACCACCTCGCAATCTGTGTTACATGTGCACTTCCTGTCACTCCTCTCTAAAGCGACTGCATGTTTAAGTGCACCGGATGACTATAGCTTTTCTCGCCAGTTGCGTCCCTAACAGTTTTAATTTCCTCATTATGTAAATCATGTTCTTCCATATATCTTTCAAGATGGTCCTTAACGCTTTCAAGTTGCATCCAGTAGGCACGAACGCCCCTATATGCTGTAGTCTATTGAGTGACCAAACTCAAATCAGACGCTATCATCCCACTCTGTATGCTCGTCACTCAACGAAAAGCACGTAATTTCGAGGAGTATTTGCGCCCGTTGGATTCGGCTTGAAAGCGTTATGGACCTTCTTGAAAGATCTGTAGAGGAACATGATTTCCTTACGGAGGAATTTGAAAGTGTTGTGGATTCACTTGGCTGAGAAAAGGTATAGTTGTTTGCGTAGTAGGACTGATTGTGACCCTTGGTGTTGAATGCTCATCCGATAAGTGCACATTGCTACCGGGGTGTAGGCATCTTAATCCCCGTGGGTATTTCTCATTCATAGGGTCCCTGTGTTTGTACAGTCCAACCTGCTATGAGGACCAGCCAAAATCATCCCAACATTTTCTTCCATTAGTAATATCCTTATGTATGAACCTGTCCATGGGGACTATCAGTTTTTGTCGGTCCCTTGACTGGTCTCCTTGGACAGAGGCTCTAATCAGGCCACATTTTCTTGACTAGGTTTCTCCCATCGAATTACGTCTCTACTGGAGTAGTGTTCACGCGTCTTACGTTTTCAAAATGTTTTTTCTCACATCACAGCTTTTGTCCCAGTGAGTTGTCGCATCAACTTCACCTAGGCGATTTCGCTCTCATTTTTTAACGCTTTTCCTCGGCTGCAATAATGGACTTGCGATCAAGGACGCGAAGTTAATGTTCATACAGAATACTCTACGTGAAAATGGTTATCCCGATAGATTTAACTTAAGAAACTTCCAAGAAAAACCCAGACTAATGCCGATGTTAACAGCACCAAAGAAAGAGTTATTTATTCGCTTACTATTCAAAGGGGACGCGGCTACCGAGCGTCTAACCAAAAGCCTTTCGGCCGCGGCAAAGTCGACCTTTCCAGAAGCCTCGTTGAAGTGCGTGTTTTCAACGGAACCACTCATTCGTTCACAAAACAAGGACAAGGTGCCGATGCTGACCACATCAGCGGTAATTTATCAATTCGTGTGCGCCTGTGGCGCGACGTATATTGGTCGAACGGCGCGGCAGTTATCCAAACGCGTGAACGAACATTGCCCTCGTTGGCTGCGTCAAGGGGACGCTGGGACCATTGGTAGCGCCATTGTGGACACCGGCAATGAGGTGGATTAGAAACGCGCTTTCCGAATAGTTTACAAGGTTCCGCCGCACCGAACGAAAGGTTACCGCCTTCGTACGCTTGCGACAGCTGAAGCAATATGCATTCGATTGTTCCAGCCGTCCTTATGCTCACAGAAGAAGCTGGTCCAAGCTCTCCAGCTTCCCTGGCCAGCGAAGATGGAAGACGCCCAGGTCGACTGCCTTCGGTCAGACGCGGTAGCAAACAACTAGCCCTCTAAGACCTAATTCGTTTTCTCCACTCTGACATAGACCTTCACGTGATCAAGTCGTTTTGAAGTAACTGGGTCGATTTTTCTTTCTAGCCTCCATATGATTGTAATGGTCTGATGATGAATCATTGAAAGCAATTGCTCACCAGATTGTCTTTCGTTCTAAGGAAAATGTGTTTGAACCATACGAACTCGAGTGTACTTCATATTTTTGACCAATAATCTCTATCTCATCTCTCCCGCTCGCCATCAGACCTTCTCCGCTCCCATGGTGTTGCAACACGAGGGACACAGCCGCATTGTTATTGGGATTGAAGTAAGTCACTGTCCTTTCTCCTCCTCCTCAGTCTGGACTCCACACTTGCTGCAGGTCTTTCGGCTGTTTAGGGGAACAATTTGTTCTGACCAACGCGAGCCCCAGTTCCCTTCCTTCCTTCCTTACGTGTTTCTCCTTTAACTCTTATGTTGCCAGGTTAACCTGTGTGTGGCGCTGTTACTAATTTTGTACTTAATACTATCCGGTCCACCTAAGTCACACTTCATAGATCACAGTGTGCGATTTCATAACATCAGGTCTTTCAAAGTCCAGTCGGTTCCCTCAGCAGGCAGCGCTATATCGTACTCTTTCGGTCGGTGTCCGAAAGAAAGCACCTGCCTTGTGATCCGGAGGTCACCGGTTCGAATCCGCAAAGATGCGCACGGCCCTCGCGCGATTGTAGGTAGTTGCATGGGTGCGAAGCACCGATACGCGATGTGTCAGCGTACTCCTAATGCTGCTCTATGTATTTACACCTCGCATTTTTCATTCCCATGGAATTTGCATGTCTCCGGAACAAACATGCGAATCGATGGTAGCTACTGTTCAGTTTTACTTACTTCCGTTTTCAACTTGGACCTGTGTGCTCATCTACGGTGAATCCAGTTGCTTTGTTACACCTCACTGTAATAATAATAATAATAATAATAATAATAGTGGCTGAAGTGGAATGGACCTAGTTTAGCGTCATCAAGTGCAATAATCCAGAGGCCGAAATGTAGGAACGAATGCTAGACCACCGCCAACTTCGTGATCGCACTATGTTCCGTAAACTCTTCTCAGCCACTGATGAGACCGGTCCCGCAGGACCTATCTGGGAAAATGACGAGCACCCATGGTACACCTCCAAACAACCATCTGACAGACACATGATTGAATCGCCGACTGTATTCTTCACGCCTCCGACGATGCTGAATGGACGATTCGACGCACTTGTGGTCTAGTATTGGCCCCAAGGTGATGCACTGAAGATAATCTGGTCGCGTGGATCCCAGTAAGTAGCCGCATGTGCGCCATTCCATTTCTAACCTGTGTAGTGGTTAGTATGAACCGTCCGAACTCAATCCGTAGACCATCAAAGACGAAGTATGTTGGCATACTGCTGCGCCATCATTTGTTGAATCACCTGAACTACCGTGAGACATTGGTGTTTCTCTCGCTACTCTGAACCAGCGTCAAAGCAAACACGCCTTCTTGGATCCGATGACCTTCCTCCATCTGTGCTCACCTACCTCCTTGTGAAATGCTATATAGGAAACGGAAGAGTTGTCGTCAAATCAGCAACTGTGCCGCGTTATGCATACTTTAAAAACTGGTCCTATTGTGTGTTGCGCACCATGTGTTAACCCTGATGCGATCGTCTCTAGATGGCTCGTACGCATCTTACTGCGACGGCGCCCTACTCATCCCAGTCGTTCAAACGGTGAAAGCCACTCCTGCTTCCATCTCGGTTCGGGAGGCGCATTACTGTACAAGCACATTCTGCCGAGTATTTTGAACAACGACACGCTTGTATATAACTTACCATGATGGCGTCGCTTACATTGAAAGCGGACTTTGATTCGCTCATTATTATACCGATCTGGTTGTAACGTCCCTTTTAGTTAATGCAAATGAATGATTTACGGATTATCTACTCACATCGGAAAGTAGCCGACGGAATTCGATTCGTACGACTTTTGTGACCTGGTCGTCAAACTTTTTCTACATTTGAGCTGCTCGAGCGAGTTGAACATGCGTGGTCCCCGCACCGTATCTACACAACCCCAAGAGAGAGAGAGGGAGAAAAGAAAATATCGAGCTTTTTGGCAGCCGGCGCTTTTACTGGCTCAGTGTGGAGCGAATACAGCGTTGCCTAGCCTTACTTATATACCAAGATTGATGGCGTTCGTGATAGTTCACATAGGATGGTTTGCATAGGCTAAAGCAGAAAAGATAAGCTGAACTGAGTGAATTTGCACAATGGAGTGTAAGCGCAACCTCTCGGATGGTAAATTCTTCTAATTGCATAGATTGCTCGGAAAATGTGAATTCTTATGCATATGAAGGCTGGTTGAACATGAACGCGAATCTCTGTGCCTTATTTGGGTCCGACTTTCACCATCTTATGGAGGCATGCGTTCTGCGTAGTAGTTATCCCTGCAATTTTGCAATGCTGTCTATTCTTGAGGAGAACACTACCGAAACTCCTGTTATTGGGACTTTTTATGGTCCGTCGCAACAAGACTGGATCTTCACATGATGCGACGGTTTTCTTCGTACCTCTTAAACTGGGTAGTGCTCCCGCGCCCCTTGGGAGTTACTCCTACCAGGTTGGTCAATGGTTAGAGGTCCCTTGGTCTTCCAGCTTGGGGGTTGGAAATAGGTGACTACTAAGATTAACGAATGCTTATTGACACATTAGAGACCTGTTTTCAACATCTTCTTTTGACCTTGAGAACCTAAAATCTCGCCTGGTTAATAGTTGTCATGAGTAAGTTTGGGCTAAACCATCAAGTAAGGGCATTATTACAAGGGAGGAAATTTACTCATGTAAATCAACTCAAGTCAAAATGAGCTTTATGTACCCTAATGGGTTTATTTTCAGCATTTACACCACCACTGCAGACACTTGGATGATAAGATCAATATACATGCTTGGGTAGAAAAGTGGAACAAATGCAGAACTGTTACTCCAACAAGCGCTCGCGCAACATGCTAGTGACTTTCGCGGAGTCAACAAGCAAACGTGAGAGATAATGCAAAACAGTACTATCATACGATAATGTGTGGGAGGATGAAATTCTAAATTTCATACGAGTAGAAGAGAAAGAAAGCGTTTTGGAAAGCTCATTCTGTCGGGGATAGAATCGATCAGTTAGTATTTTAGAAGAAGAATCATTGCAGGCAACACGATGTTTAGAAATTATCAAATTAACTAAAGAATCTCTAGACAATTCGCTGCATCTAGAAATGCGCTTTATGGATCGCACCAATAAGATGTAGTCTTTCGGAAGCAGTCCAGAGAAAATGACAGGAGAGCTGAATAACCAATGGGGAATAATGCAAGAGATCACAAACCTGAATACTACAATACACGATACTGAAAGCACCTTAAGTCTGAGAGCATATAAAGGGTTTTCTAACTTTTTGCAAACTTTTACAAACATGCGTGGACTAAAATAGGTTCTGGGACAAAAGGACGCCGAGATACTTGATGGTGGAAGAGCTGGATACCGGATTTTCATTCACAGTAAGGGTGGGAGAGAAATCTATGAAGGACTGCAACTTCTCGCCACGTAGAAAAGCAAATATTATATCCCTGCATTTAGAAACATTAAGCGTAAGAGATCTGGATGAAAACCATTCCATCAGATCTTCCGACCCACGTTGAAGTGATGAGGAATCCTGGTTAGGGGGGGGGGCATGCATCCCAACACATCATCAGTATATTTACACCCTTTAAACACGAGTTGTCTAGCGAGTTGCTCAACATACGAGGAAATTAGAAAAGATGCTAACATCGCTCCCTGCAGAACACCACAGTCGACACGGAGCACAGAGGATTTCTTGTCGTTCAACTTGGTGAAGTGAGTACGATCCATACAATAGTCACACACACTTGTGAACTCTATTTCCGGATAACAATTTTAGCAACATTGACTATCCAGGTTTCCAAATACATCCGAATAATCCAGAAAAAGAAGCCGTACGGATTTACATTTTGATCCAATGCAGAGGCTATAGAATGTACGAAATATGCCACTGCATCCAGTGTGGAGCGCGGGGGTCTATACGCAAACTGGTAGATGTCGACCTCAGGAGCGGCTGATCAAATCCGCGGTTATCTTCGTTAATTTTATTGTGTTTGTTGCATTTTTGAGTAGCTTGTGGACATTTTGTACTTATCGTGGAATCGTTGCTATCCAACTTACTTCATATGGTAATTTAGCGAAGAGTTATATCTGCATAGACAAATGCTTTAACAGATATATTTTATTTGATAAAGTGAATGGCTGTTGCTTGAGATCCCCGGTGTGGCTACGCTTGATGTGCATGTTGACAAGGTGCCTACCTGTCTATTACCCACTACCTCGTTCATACTGGCTCCAGGAGACAGTTGGTCGCTGCTGGAGGGGACGGGGTGCACGGTTCTTGTGGCCTTGTTATGATCAAAGAGTGATTCCATGCACTCAGTTTGGAACCGACTAATGTCCAGCCACTACCTTGTGTGCGATTGATTCCCAACCACAGCGTGCTTGTGTTTGCCTATGAAGGAGTGTGGGCCGGCTCCGTTGAAGAAACGTGGCTCCTATCCACATGCCTCCCGGTCTTATTCCTTCGGGTTTACACTGGATCTGGGGTGTGTGGGTAGTGCAGCGCAAGCCACCAATGGTCCCACTGTAGGCGCAGGCGTCCTGTGGCTGGCCACAGTGACAGGCAAATCCGAAACCGGATGTCGCCACCCAAATGTATGCGTAAGTCATCATGTTGAGTGAATTTGTTACTATTACTGTGAAATTGTGACTTTGTTTGGTGATTTCGGCAATATAGGAAGGGATCAGATGAAATCTTTGAAGTACTTGACGTTCGCAAGATGAAGGAGATCCTTCGGCAATGCAAAAGGCAGTGATTTTATTTAGTGGCGAGTCACATTCGCCACTTCACAGTGTTGTTAAGCAGACATTTGTGGATTTTTATGGGGAGAGCGCTTGCCAGACGGTAATCCGCCCCATCCTGGAACTATTAGCTGGAGCGTGATTAGCCCGAACCACCCAGCTGGCACCACGTGGAGGTTGTTCGGCAATATTTGCTGTAGTCCGTAAGATGGCCACGTTTGCCCTGTTTCTCGCCTTCTCTCTAACCTTTTGATCAAATAGATTAAAAGTCGGGTCCAATCAAGATATGTGCATTTTCAGCACTTTACCGTATCAGCTGCGAATGATACACAATGGCATCATCAAACTTACAAAGTTTTATACTTAGATAAACAATAGGGAAGAATGCATTGATGTCATCCG